AGCATTAAGGGGTAACAGAAGGTCAACGTTTCCTCGAAATTTTCAAACAAATTTCTTGCTCAAAGCTATTAATATTTGTTGAATCCAAAACACATTCCAAACACTATTGATCTTCATTCTTCGTCATCGTCTTCTAGACATTAATGTCCTTTTATTTGTAAAAAATATCAATAACTGTCAGGAGGAAATTTGTTCAAAAATTTGGAAAATTAGCGGCATTTTGTTGCCCCTTTAACTGATGACTGCCTAATGCGCATCACCTAGTGATGATCATCGTATTCTTCATCTCCCGTTCGTTTGAAAATGCGAAACAAGTTGCAGGCGGCTGTATCTTTGATACCGCTGTAATTGTACGTGGATACTGGTCTTTCCTTGTTTCTCGAATTTTCTAGAAACTCCTTGCATTCTGTTGAATTTCCTAGAAACTCCTTGCATTCCCTCGAATTTCCTAGAAACTCCTTCAATTCCCTTAAATTTTCTAGAAGCTCCCTAAATTTCCTCTAAATTTCTAGAAACTCCTTGAATTTTTGCGAAATTTCACATTTGTGACCCCTGTCATAAACTAAAACCTCCCCTTTCCGCATGCCCGCTTCATTCAAATAAATTCCCCGAAAAATTACCCTTTCCATCTACAAAGCCCAGTGAATTCTCTCGATTGAACCCGTAAAAGCGAATTAACTGGGTGGAAATACTAAAAACCTCGAAAATAAAAGAGTTCCCATCAGATATCCGTCGGCGCGAAAGTCTTCAGCTGTCCCACATCATTTAAACTCCTCTGCGGCATGTTTTACGCACTCTCCTCTCTTTCACGTGACTTCTTGAGCCCGTGTTTCTAATTCTGTTGCCCTATACTCCCTCGTCTCCGTGTTCCACCCTCCAAACCCGTGAAGCTCCATGAGGAAAAATTCACGAAGCGAAATCACAGAAAAATTGAATGAATGCGAAATCGGGGAATTTCAGGTGTTTATTTCGATTTTACCGGGACATCTGGTGCATTTGAGAACCCCTGGGGTGTGGGTGGAGTCGAGAGGCCTCTCCACACCCTTCGGATCGACGCCGACCTGATACTCTCCCTTCATTTACTCCCCAAATGGTCCAGGACTCCATCTCCACTCGATTTCATTCAACTCACCATTTTTTTTCTTCCCTTATTCTGCTCGATCTCGCGTTATCGTTTATTTACGTTCAATGCAGTAAAAATAAACAGAGCGATTGATGAGTTCCCTTGGATCATCCGCGTACTCTCAACTGTTTCGTAATTACTCATTTCAAGAGTTCAAGGGTTCTCGTAATTGAAAAATCTCATATTTCATTAATTCTATCATAAATTGAGGAGAAAATCAATTAAAAACTGATAACATGAACCGTCAGTAGATTCATGAACACCAAATAACATGAGCCATGTTTGTAATATTTTATTTTTTCTCATATTGTGAAACTGTCAATTATTGCTGAATTTTTTTTTAATTTGCAATAATACGAAAATTCAAGAAATTTTTTAATTAGTTGAACATTTTAAAGTTTTGATATTTTCATTCTATTTTTACAACTCTCCCGGCAACTAAAAGTTTTATAGCATTTGTACTTCTAAACCAAGTTAAATGCCAGTCTTATGAAAATTAATACTGAACTGTCCATGAAATTCTCAATTTTTGCCACCGGAATACACAAAAGAACACTGTGAAAATTTTGAATTCGCGATTGAACGTGACATCATTTAATTCAATACGTAATATTTTATTTTTTTCTCATATTGTGAAACTTGATTTCTGCAATGTATAATCTATAAAAAGCTTTTTTCATCACGCTGTGCGAAAAAGTAACTTTTTAAAACTTTTTAAAACGTCCTTTTTCCACATTGTGATGAAAAATATCGTTCGATACTCGTGGGAAAAGTGTTTTTTGGCTCGTGGGAGGTTTATAGCACAAGCCGAAGGCTCTTTTCCGCACTCGTAACGAAATATACTATTATCTATCTATTTCACGACTAGAAATTCTGGTCTGAATTTCCCGAGTTGAATTTTGGAATAGTATATTTCGTAACGAGTGCAAAAAATATTTTTTCACGTGTTACGAACTAGTATATTTCGTAACGAGTGCAAAATAGTATATTTCGATACGAGTGAGACAGAATTTTCACGAGTGTGAAGTTGGCGGCCCGAGGCGAAGCCGAGGGCTGCCAATCACACTCGTGAAAATTCCTGTCTCACATGTGTCGAACAATAGTTTTTGACAGTGATGTTACGTTCAGCGAGTGGCGAACTGTGCCTTTTTTCGTTTACTAGTAAACGAAAAGACTTTTCGTTTACGAGTAAACGAAAAGGCACTTTTCGACACGAGGTGAACGTAGCAGCAGTGTCAAAAAAGTATTTTTTGGCGAGTGGGAGGTTTATATCACGAGCCGAAGGCAAGTGATATAATCCCACGAGCTAAAAAACATTTTTTCACGAGTTACGAACAATATTTTTCATCACAATGTGGCGGAAATTGGACTTTTAGGCGCGCGGAGCGTGCCGAAAAGTTCACTTTTCATCACAGCGTGATGAAAATTTTTAATAAGTGCCATTTCCACTGCAATTTCAAGAGTTCTCGTAATTGAAGAACCACATATTTCTCGATTTCATTCAACTCACCATTTTTTTTCTTCCCTTATTCTCCTCGATCTCTCGTTATCGTTTATTTCCGTTCAATGCAGGAAAAATAAACAGAGCGGTTGATGAGTTCCCTTGGATCATCCGCGTATTCTCAACTGTTTCGTAATGACTCGATGATGGATCTGCGCATTATTTTATCGCAGTCTGACGTGTGAAATCAATCGTGAATTCTCATTTTCCAAGTTGTAGTAAACAAAATTTCTGAATGCATTTTGTAATCTCACGGTGATTTATGTGAGGGAATTAATCGCGTTATTTTTGTTTGACGGTTTTCTTGGGGGAGAGATGAGTTTGTTTTTGACAATGACAATGGATCGATATAAATGAATTATAATTTTTCGGAATGAAAAACACATTTTGCAGTGGAAGACGGTGCAAAGTGGAGTGTTTGTCATCGACTCTAAATCCCAAGATGTGTTAATCCTATTTTACTAAAGATGAAAGGTGAAGTTGTTTTATTGAAAACGTGAAGTTGTTTTATATCGAAATATCTCGAAACTGCCTGACCCCTAATCCTTAATTCTGATTGGTCAATATGTGACACAAAGTCATTCACAAAAAAAAAACACGCGGCATTCTCAAATTCTTCAGTGACATAATTTCAAATTCTTCAGAGGTAAATTTTTTGTTCACGTCATATATATATATATATATATATATATATATATATATATATATATATATATTTCACATGTATATATATTATCGGTGAAATTGATAAATTTTGTCCTTTTATGGTGACCGATTATTTTAAAAAATTGAAGATAATTAATTGAAAATGAAAAATTCTTTATAGATTCTTTTACTCTACTTCGCTATTCACTTCAATCATTAGTCGAATTCTCTTTGACTCTTTATCAATATTTATAAGGTATTCATGACAAAATGAAATTTAATGAATTCCATTTCTTCATTTCAACAAATGAAGAGATCAGCGCGTGCGAGAGCGCGAAACAATGCGAAACAATGTGTTTCCACACATTGTGGGATCGTATCACTCGCCTTCGGCCCGTGCTTTTCCGCACTCGTAACGAAATATACTATTAAGGACTCTGTGGTCAGGTATCTTTCTTATTATCTTATGCGCCAGAAATTGGTCAGTTAAAACCGGCGGTTATTGGGCCACCGTCGCCGGTAGTGTGTAGTTATTACACACCACACGTTTGGGGTGTGTGTAATTTCATTTAGGTGTGTTCCTTATGAGTTGCATATATACATCACTCTTTAAAACGTGTAAAAAGTGTTTACATGATTTGATACACTTATTAAAGCGTGATAAATTTACACACTTGACTTTGCAGTGTAATCCAGAATTGGAGATCACGAACGTTCCACTTGTCCCTCTATGACTCATAAATTTTCACATGGAATTTGATGCTTTTAAGGATGCCAAGTGAATTTGGCGATGACCTTGAAAATTGACATTCACCAACAAAGTTATAAGTTTTTTAATTAATAGTATTAGACAGATGGTGACAATTTTAAAATTTTAGAACTTATGGATATCAAGAAATTAAATAAACAAAATCAGTCTTATACACGGCCTCTTATGGAGTTTTGATTAAATTGAACGTTTCAACCCCCTAGGAACGCAAGAAAAATTTGAAAAAATTTGAAGATATGGGGAATGATGTGTTCAATGTGATGGCGACAAAAAACAATGGGGTACCGGGGTGAATAAGAGAGATATTTCAACCCGCCGTACCCATTTGATCCCATGCTTTCTCGAGGTTCGTCACGCGAAATAGAGGATTTTCCGCATTTATTTTCTCGATGTCTAGTTACGGTTGCGGATTTGAAATTTCGTCGAATGGATGAATACATATTTCTCCAATGATGGAGGGAAAGAAAAAATTTTTTTTGAATCTTTTTTCAAATTCACTTGGCACCCTTAATTCCCAATTCTTCACACATGAAAAAATTGTATAGAAATTTTCTATACGGATTGCGTGTAGAATTTCTATAGGATTTTCGTATATGATATTCGGATATTTCTATACGAATATTTTTTATACAAATTATTTCTATACGATTTTTATAGGTTTGATCCTATACGACCCACTGCCACATGTATAGAATGACTTCGTATGGAGTTGCGAGATTGCTCTACGTTTTTCTCTGGAGCCTTCAGACATCTTTCGTATGAAAACAAAAATTTATGTAAAAGTTTATGTATAGAAATAATTCGTATAGAAAAGTTGTATAGAAATATCCGAATATTATCCGTATAGAAAATTTCTGTACGTTTTTTTAGTACGTGCATCAGTCATCATTGTTCCTCTTCCTCCTGAAAAACCTAAACATGAACTGTTTGTGGAAAGTCAAAAATTAATTTGAAAGCTCAACTTCAAGTGATAAATAAATGATATTTATTCCAACAGATTACACCGATATCTTATGACATTCTTACAGACTTAAGAGGTTCTTCTCTCCATTATAATATCTTCAAACATGAATATAATAATGAATTATAAGAAAAAATACGAAAGAACTAGGAGATCTTCGAAAAGAAAATGAAAGAAAAAAATCCAGATCTTTATCTAGGTATACCTAATCTTAAATTATACTTTTCTCAACTAGTTGAAGAGAACTTGCTTGTACCAAGTCAAGATACACATTTACATAGGCGTTATTGACATCACAATTTCTATTACTGCTCTTACTTTTCACTTTATTTTCTACGAAGATAAATTTTTCCCGCATGAGAATCAACTCAATTCAGAAGTTTACGTACACCACCCTCTCTATTCTCGTTTATTTGTTTCCATTTTCATTTGGGAAAGTCTTTGGACATCTTGGGCGCCTTGTCGACGCGAGAGCGTTAGCCGTCGGATACCGGATGCGACGGTCTTTATTAAAGAAGAGAACAATGAATTTCCATTAATGATTTTTGTTTAGTGGAGAGATTCACATGTAACATTTTGATCGAGTTTGAAAGTCGACGGTGGAAAAACCTGATGAGGACACTGTGGAAGACATTCCTGGCCCCATTACGCTACCACCAACTCCTAGTGACCCTACACCTGCTGGTGTCACTGTGGAAGTGCCGGGTTCCTCTTTGATTGGTACCACTAGGGATTAAACATAAAGACATCGTAAAATTGGTGAATTCGCGATTGAACGTGACATTAAATTTAATAGTTAATACTTTATTTTTTACTGCAACGTATAATATGAAAAGCTTTTTATCTATCTCATGACTAAAAGTTTTGAATCAAATTCTGGAATTTTCTCGTAATTGAAAAATCACATATTTCATTAATTTTCTCATAAATTGAGGGGAAAATCAAGAAACACTGTGGATTACAGTTGAATTATTCCGGAAAAAATTGCAGTAATTACGAAAATTCGGAGTATATATTCCTGGTTTTTTAATTAGTTCAAAATGCAAGGATTTTCTGAAATTTTCATTCCATTTTTACTGGCATTAAACCGAGTTAAATGCTAGTCTTATGAAAATTACTACTAAACTATCCATGAAATTTCCGATTCTTTTACCAATGGAGATTAAACACCAGAATATCGTAAAATTGTTGAATTCACGAATGAACGTGACATTTAATTCAGTACGTAATATTTGTTTTTCTCGTATTGGGAAATTAGATTTGTGCAATGTATAACACATAAAAACCTTTCGATCTATCTCTATCTATTACACGACTACAGATGTTAGTCTGAATTTTCCGAATCAATTCTGGAAATTTTTAACAAATGACATTTCCACTGGAATTTCAAAAGTTCTCGTAATTGAAGAAAAACATACTTCATTTATTTTCTCATAAATTGATGACAACATCAATGGAAACTGTGAAGTATTGTTGAGTTATTCCGCAAAAAATTGTAACAATGGCGAAAATTTAGAGAATACATTCCTGGATTTTGAATTAGTTGAACATTCAAAGAAGTTCTGAAATTTTATTTCATATTGTTTCTTTGAAATGATTTTTTTTTCTGTTGAAAGGGTTAATTAATGTTTCTGAAATGAAAAATCGCTTACTGTCTCCCCAATATCCATCATGCCGTCTCGCGCATGCACCAAAATTACTGGTAAAAGTTCCACCGCCCATGCCACCTGGCGACCCGGAACTGCCGCCTGAAACGTCAAGGTAATTGCCTTGAAACCCTTCAGTCAGTTGTTTCTCTCATATCCCAGATGAATATTGTTTTGCTAATTAAATCGGAGACTTTAATACTCACTCAAAGAGTTGAATTGACCGTAACCATTCATCGTTGGTATTTGCATCGACTGCATTGGTTGCAGTTGGGGCTGAAGCTGTGAAGAAACCATAAACCCTTTGATTAACAAAAATAATTCTGCAGGCCATCGGCTGAACATGACAAGTTAAATCTGATGTTTTATTAAGCGCGTCTGTATCTCACATAAAACTAATTTCAAGAGAAATGTCAAAAACCATGACAAGAAAATTTTCTTGAAATATTCTCTTAAAATCATCTGTTGACTTTCAATTGGAAAAAGAGTTATTACCGCTTGGCAGTGGCTGTAGGACAGTTGGGGTTGCTGCAAACCCCATGTGCTGTAACGAAAGGAAAAAAAAAACGTTCAGTCCAATTTTTGAGAATCAATCTATTTTTTTTCCTTCAATTCAGGATTTTCTGTATCAAAGATGTGGCCGATTTTGTTCAGTTTTGTTTGTTTGTTTACCTCGTATCATATCTGGTATAGGCAGTGGGTGCATAGGACGGTGGGGAGTGCCCAAATAGGTTCCTGGTTGCACCGAGATGCACGTGAGACGTTGGATATGGCTCGCCAAAGATTGATTTATGGTATGATGCACTTCTGTACGGCCTCTTCATCCTCTTCCGCCGTCTGTAGTTGCCATTTTCAAACATATCGTCATACTGGGGATCTTGCGACACAAACAATAATTGTTAACAATTGATTTCTAATCAACGCAACCATTTGAACAAAACAGAAAAGTTATTCATAAGTTATTCAAAAAATATTCGTCTTCGAATTGGAGAAATTCATATTATTATTCTTTACTCGAGGGAAAAATTTACAAGCCATTCTTTGTGGAGATCTTGCTACACCCCGAGGAAGATTTTTTTATGTCGGGAAGGATGAAATCGCGACAATAACACTGTACGTCAGGGATGAATAGAACTGACATGAAAAGTATAAAAACTTTCGAAAATAATTTTCAGTCGGCAAATACTAGAAAATCCATCATCCTGGAACCTAGATCAAAGAATGTACTCCCTAAATTATGGAAATGACCCAATTTCTAATTTTCCATAATTTCTGAACAATTCTTATGGCTGTTGTCTCGACATTTTCCTTGATTAACCCTTGGAAATCCACTATTTGCCTTCTTCAGATTCTACATTTGACCCTTTGGATTTTTACATTTGACTTTCTATGCAGATTCTGAAAAAATGTATTTTGATGCATTTTTCGACAGACGTCACAAGTTCTTGACATTATCCTACAAATTCTCTAATTCCGGTGGCTTGGCGCAGTGGGTAAGTTCATTGCCTCACATGCGAAAGGTTCCGAATTCAAATCCCGGCCGGGTAGAATGGTGCGATCTAACCATTTAAAGTCTTGATCATCATCGCAGTATACCCTAACCGGATCGAAACGATGTAAAATAACGATACAAAATAGTTATTTTCATCACAAGGTCCACAAAGTATTTTCTGACGAATGTGGCTTTGTAGGCCGAGCCGAAGGCGAGGCCTATAATCGCATTCGTCAGATAATACTTTTGGACCGTGTGATGAATGCAATTTTTCGTCAGAAGGCTCGTAAACCGCGATCAAACCGAGTGAAGCGAGGTTAGAATCGCGGTTTACCGGGTCTTCTCACGAACAAAAATTCTCTAATTAAAAAAAAAATCCACAAATTGGTGCACTTCTCACTTATTTCTAGAACTGGTCTCTGGATCAAATGAACCCGTATAAATACTTTTTCGAATGTATTGTTGCCACTAGAAAATAACTGTCTACTTCAAAAAACCTTATATACCTTCAAAATCTACTCCTCGTGCTAGATCTTGATCCATCTAATACAGTTTGACCTCTTCTAATGTCTTAATAAAAAAATTAAATATTGAAAATTCTGTCGAAAAACGCATTTTTCAAGATAGAAATTTCACTTGTTATATTATATTTCACTTGTTATATTATATATATTTCACTTGTTGTAACTATGCATCTTGTTAGGAGATATATCAACTATTATAAGTTATAAAAATTTACTGCATCGGAAAAAAAGGAGGTGAGATATTTGACAAAAATTATAGGTCAAAAAATAAGTTTGCCGTTTGAGGGTTATTAGGAGATAACAATAGTATCTCGAAAATGAGTAATATTACAAAAGAACAATGCGAAACTATTTTTAGCCCTTGACTGAGTTTTCGAGTAATATCTGCGAATCGAAAGGAGATACCGAAATTTTGCCATTTCCCTTAGATTTCGAGATATTCATGGAAAACTGGCGAATTGACTTAAGGGGGGGATTACTGTGAGTTTTAAAGTCGTGGATTATTGGAGTAAAACTTTTCATACGTTGAAGATCGATTATATAGATCTGAAAACGAATAATTACTGCAAAAAAAATTTTTTTATTGTTCGTTTGCCCGAAAACGCTAAAAATGGCAAAAACAGTTCAGGGCCTCCAATTTTTGAGGTACGAATGATTTTTTTTCAAAATTTTCGGAAAAATATGTGGAATAACAATTACGAGCTAGCTTTTTTTAAATTCACCTCTTACATGGCTAAATTTGCTTTTTTTGGTATTTTTTTACACAAATAGTGGATTTTTTTTGTATGAAAAAAAAAAAAAAATCAGTGTAGGAGTCGAATTCCAAAAAACTGGCTCGTAATTGTTGTTCCACATATTTTTCCAAAAATTTTGAAAAAAAAAAATCTTTTGTAGCTCAAAAATTGGAGGCCCTGGACTGTTTTTGGAGCATTTTAAGCGTTTTCGGGCAAACGAACAATAAAAAAATTTTGTTTTGCACTAATTACTCGATTTCAGATCTATATAATCGATCTTCAACGTATGAAAAGTCTCACTCCAATAATCCACGACTTTTAAAACTCACAGTAGTCTCCCCTTAAATCAGAATCGACTTAAGGTATGTTCCTAGAAAACAGATTTTTCTTACGATCACCCCCATGTTTTTATAGATAATATTTATAATAATCCCCAGCTATTCAAGAAAATTCCAACTAGCTATATTATACAGTTTTGGAGATAATAAATAATAAAATGCAGGTTTCTGAAAAAACAAATCCTATGATGTTCTTAAAAAACGAATGCGTGGTAGATTGATCAATTCCGAATGCGGTAAATTTCTAGTAAAATTTTATAGTACATAGCTTCTGCGATATTCAACTCTAAAAAATGTAAATTTTGCGACATCATTTCTTCCTTGATTCTAACAGTTATTGTTGCCTTCATAAACAACACATGAGGATAGAAAACCTCAATAACTTACGAGAATGCAATAAATTAAGCAATTTAGAATTCTTTCCGGAAATCCATAGGGACTATTGAGTGTTGTTGTGTTGGAATATACCTTAAACCGTTTTATAGCTTCGCACCTGCATTTTTCTGTAAAAAAATTTCTCGATTTACAACAAAAGCTTCTGTACATTTTCCCTGGAGAAAGCTGACAGCAATGCCTATGAAATAAAAAAAAAACTTACCGAGAGTCCAAAAATTGCCCTTCCGCTCACCACCACCTTCCCTGGGCACCTTAACGAAGCACTCATTGAGCGATAGATTATGCCTAATCGAGTTCTGCCAGCCCTTCTTATTCTTCTCGTAATAAGGAAACTTGGTAGTGATGTAGGAATAAATTTCACTGAGAGTGGCTCTTTTGTGTGGACTATGATTAATAGCCATGGCAATGAGAGCAACGTAACTAAACGGTGGCTTAACCGTTGTGGATGACGCCTCGTTACCATTGGGAGTTATGTTCCCTGTTTCAGTGGTTGCTGTCGGGGTAGAGGATGCACTTGGTGTCGAGGAATTACTGTTTGTTGAGTTATGAAGTCCTGGGGGCGATGATCCCTTGTCCAGATGATGATGATGATGGCTGAGATGAGTAGAGACAGATGAGTGGATGGAAATTCCTGATCTGGGACTGTGATGATCGTGGTGATGATGGGTAGCAGACAGGTGGTGGGCTGTCAGGGATCTGGCGAAATTTACGTCTAACTCCTTCGATGAAGACGTCGACATTATACTTGGCGACATCTCTGATACGAAGTTGCTTACTGAAACAAATTAATCATGCACTCAAAGAACTATTCGTTTATTGTTCAACCAGTCTCTTTAACTGGTGATAAGTGGTAGAGACTAATGTGGCCAAATGAAGATTGTTATATCGTCAAAAAAAAAAAAACGACTGACTTGACAGAACAAAGTTGAGATAAACACAGCATCTGTGGAAAGTTAACTAATCTTAAGTTGGCTCAATAAAATTCTGGATTAATTGTATTAATCGACAAAAATTTCTTCGCAATTAATTATTCTTTAATCATACTAGATCTGGGCGCGCGCTTTCGCGCGCGCTCATCTTTTTGTTGTGAAAATGAAGAAATCGAGTTTATTAAACTTCATATACTCATAGATATTTTATAAATATTGATAATGACTTAAAGAGAATTAAGAGAAGGAAGAGTGAAACATCAATGAATATTTTTTAATCTTCGATGAATTCCTTTTTTTACGTTTTAAAATAATGTAATTAAAATCTGTAATGGTTGAAAAATGAGGGGAGGGTTATAAATTGATTTCCTTGAAAACTGAAAAAAGTTCTTGAATTTTTCGGAAAATTTCACAATTTTCTAGATAACCGTAAATCTTCAAAGATTTTTCTCGAATTATTTGGGAAACCGAAGAATTTTCATGAATTTGTAGAGTTTAGAATTTATGTATGAAAATCTCAGAAGCAAGAATTGATAATTTTTGCGTATGATAAATATGAAAAAATTAAAATTTGGGAAGTGAGGAATAATTTGTGAGTGAAAAAAATTTACAAATACTGTTTTTTTTCTCATGATCAACAATTAGGCAATTTAGATGTTTTGCTATAAAGATACTTCACACATAAAAAAAAAGAAAAATATAACGCAGAAAAAATTTTTGGGCATTTGAAGAATTTGAAAAACCGGGGATTTTTTTCAGCGACTACTTCACGTGACTCATTGACCACTCAGAACTGAGGATTAGCGGTCAGGCAGTTTCGAGATATATCGATATAAAACAACTTCACGTTTCTTTCATCTTTAGTAAATAGGATCATGATGTTGAATGGGTTCAAGACAATATCCAATATCAGGAAACCTTTTTGCAGAAAGTTGTGGGAGGAAATCCCTTTCTTCATTATTATACTGACTTTGCAAACTTAAAAATCCTCACAATTTATCATGATGTATCTTGTGCAGTAAATAAGAACAGATAGTGTTAAGGATATTCGAGTACTTTGGCTATTTTTTCTCCAGTGAAATGCTTTTCTACTTTTACAGCTGAGAATGCTTTCATTCATTCGAGTCAAATGGGGCGCGAATGGAATTGACCCCATTTGACCCGAAGTTTCCGGACATTTTATAATGATTTTATTATTTAAGCTTTGCAGGTTTGAATTTTTAGTTCGATCTTAAACCATTAGAAAACATTTAAAAATCTGAAAAAAAATAGAACGTTTACTTTTGGTGGATACTTGATGAAATAATTGAAAAATTGCAATTTTTGAAAATTGCGAGCATTTTCTATAAATAATTTATAAATAATACATTTGCCACCATAAAAATCATTTTTTGGGAATCGTAACAATTTATTCATATTCAGAATTTTACCAGAAATCGATTTCATGCCTAAAAAATAAGGTTTCCGAAAGTCTAAAAAATTTCAATTATTTATTTAAAAACAACGAATCCTTGAAAAAATCATAATTCTGTGCAAAATGTAAATGACATATTCACATGGACATAGGGGAGGCTGGGGTAAAACGGACAATTTTGACTTTTTTTTTAATGTTAATGAGGGGTTGAAATGTTGATTAAATTTAACAAATTTTTTTTCAATACAAAGAACAACTCTTTCCCTTTGTAACGAGCCTAAACTGAGCTCAATTGATAAATTTGTTTTTGAGTTATAAATAATTTTTAAAAAGTCTGAAGTATCCATTTTACCCCACCCTCCCCTATTTAATGATTGAAAATGGTTGAATCTATAGTCTGGTCTGTACCAAACTGTAAAAGATACTTAAATATCCTCAAATCGTTCAACTAAATTTCGAAGAAAATTCAAACAATGAAAATCAATTGACGAGCAAGGGGAATTGCATTGGAAACTTCGAGGAAGTCATACGCCACAGCAAACAATTCGACCTCGGAACCCGAAGCCCCCACACGCATACCTCAATGTTTCGGTCCAAGTGTTTGCGACTGTAAACGATTTACATTAAAAAATAAACTATAAACTCATGTCATCACCACTTCCAAAGAGAAGACTTCAAATAGAAAAGAAACTTTTCTGTATTGCTTCTCACGATTTCTCGTCTGGGAATTGGTATTACATACTTCCCAAACTCGAAAACTTGAAAATCACTACAGAAAAATATTGTTCCTGGGCTGTTGCGATGGGGTTTTTTTACTCGTGTGGTTGGTCAGTCCTTGCCTACGGCTCGGAGGCCAACGCCACATGAGTAAAAAACCCCATCGCAACAGGCCGGAAAAATACTAATGATTCAATTCTCTTCAGGATGGAAGAATAATTAACGAACGAAAAGTTGCCACTACCTACAATTCTCCCTTATTTTCCTATATTTTTATTTTCGAAACTTTAGGAATCGAGAGTCCATAAATCCACTGATTTAACGAACGGGTTGAGCATGGGTGGTGGCACGAAATGATAAACAAATATGGTTATTTTAGTAACAGTCCTTCGTGGCACGCGGCCTCAGAGTCACGTACAGTTGGACAGAAAATCGAGCCTTGTTGAGACTCTCCATATTTCTGTACCAATACCCAAGGGGAAATGTATCTTGAACGTGCTTCACTCACAGTATTTACGGTGACTCCAATTTTAGGTGAACATTCGATATTTTAATTTCTCTTTTATTTCAACAAAGTTTCAATTTTACGGATTTGCCACTAGAAAAATTGTCAGTCTCACTTGGACACGAGTTTTTTTTCCTATTTAAGCATTAGAGACTCCAATAGGAGGTCTATTAGCTGTTAAGTAGTATTTATAAGGTATATATTTGCATGTTTTCTTTTTAAATTTACACGGAGAGAAATGTTCAGTAAAAATTAGGGAACTCACAGTTCGCTCATCGATTACGGAATCGACTCAGAAAATTTAAGTGACGGTATCGTAATTTTTCACAGGAGATTCAGATAAAAATTACGGAACGCTCTGGAAAAATTCCGTGACAGTTCCGTAAAATTTCCGACAACCACATTTCGCTCCGGAATTACGGAAAAGATACGTAATTTTTATTGAATATTTCTCTCCGTGTATGTATAAATATATAATTTGCGAATTCTCAGGCCTAATTATATTTTCAGTTCAAATTAGAATACACACAATGCTTGACATGATATTAGGAAATTGACAGCAGGGTGGACAGCCCAATTGTTGGACGGTTAAAAGAAATTCGAGTTTCGTGGTAGGATCTAAAATAAAAGAATCACCTAAATGAGAATATGATGGCATCCAGACCTTCAAGAATGTTTTAATTGCCAGAAAAAAATTATTTGAATTGAAAATAAAAAAAAATGATTACCTGATTATATATGCATAATATTATTGAATGGTGAAATAATCAGTACAATTTTCATTTTATTTATGGAATATTCAATGCAAGGTGAAATCGTTCAGAAACTAACCCCCGTCCAGAAATTGACCTGTTTTCCCTACTTCGAAATTTTTCTCTCCATTTTTCTCCTCTGCTCCTCAAACTGTGGGTATTGCCATACGATGTGATCGATATCTTCCTTTGGTTGCCCATATTCGCATGCGGGGTTTAGCGACAATGCTTATTCGGGCTAATGATGAATTTGAGTTATAATGATTCTTAGATATGAGTCTTTCCTCATATCTAAGAATCATTATAATTCAATTCTTTCCTTTCCATCTCAATTTTTCGTGAGAAAGTCTTCTATGTAAGAAGAATACCAACACAGTTACGAAAATGTGTTGCGTAGGGATAAACTCCAAGGACTATATGAATTGTATCGCAGAATATTGACGAGCAGTAGTCGTTCACGCGCCTTGACAACAATCGGGCCAATTTATACAAAGTAAATTGCTGAATAAACTATTCCGATTAAAATGTATTCGAAACGTTTTATTATTTATCAGAATTCAGTGTGAACCTTTTAGAACTCTTATTACATCTGTAGGATAAAATCAGAGCTGTAACAACCATTCCTAACGAATTATGTCGATTTTCCTAAAATTCCAGAAGATGTAGTGAAAGCTTTCTCCGAAGCAAAGTTGACTTATGTTGTTCAACAGCTTTTCAACGGGAATTGATAGCTGTACAAACGGACATGTTCATTGAGACGATAACACTAAATGTTTATCATTAAGTGCATGTTCTTACTCTCTAAGTGATATGCTAACTTTTATCAAGGGTGTGATCTGTGAACTGGTCGATTAAGATTTGATTATCAGTGATATGAACACCGATATGATACGCCAATCTCTATCGTCAACAGTGCGATTCGAAGAGTATCGCAACGCCTGAAAGTTTGGTGATCACCCGCTAGTGATACGCCATTTGATACTATCAAAGGTGTGATCACATCAGTTCTTTTATCAGTTTTGAAGCATTTATTGGCTTTGCGGCCATACGAATACCTTAAATATTCGAAAAATAATGTGGAAAATGTTGACGTTTCAACCCTACATTTTCGAATTCTTCAGAAAAAATCGAGATTTTCATCACAAGAAATTGAGAAATGTATCTGATTTACGGTGACAAATGGCGGCCTGTCACCCATTATCCAGGGGGAAGACTGATTTCGTAAATCTTTTCCCACACTGCACAGAAACATTTATTACGGAAAAGGCTCTTTGAAAAAAGTTGTAATATTTTGGAGAATTTTTTAATCACACTTTTATCACATCAAAATGACAGATGACTACATACCACTGTTTTGAAAATTTAGATACCTAGTTGTCACTTTCCACGAGGAGTTAGTGTTTTGTTATCCACCATGGAAAATGACAGTTAATAGATAATTTGCCACAGCGAATCAGA